AACACTGATCCATGAAAGGTAAATGCAAAAGAGAATGAAGACAGAAAACATGCAATATCAAACACGGCACCTATAGACATAAAGCGGTATCTCCAGAGCCTCATAGACGAGTTCAGAAATGAAGTATTTAATGAAATAAAGCAAGTAATAAGTAGAATAGTTAGAGAAATGCTAAGCACTGCCCAAGAAAAAACAGATGGTGGAATGGAAGAACAGAAAAAAAGGGGAGAATTGTTTGATGGAGAAAATAGAGAAAACATAAAATACGTGAAGCAGGTTCAAAGAGATTACCAGGAAACTAAAAACTCTATTGAAAGCTGGCATAACAGCTTGAAAGAAACTAAGTATAGATTATCAGAACCGGAGGACAGATTTGTAAGGTGGGAGCATGAAATGAAAAACTTCTTAAAAATAACAAGAAAACAAACAGCAATAATACAATGACTAGAAGATGATAAGAGGATCCATAACTTAAGAATTAAGAACGTAAAAGAAGAAGTAGGGACTCAAACAAATGAACTACAAAAGCTATTCACAGAAATATCCAGGAGAATTTCCCTAATTTAGCAAAAGGTAAAGATACTCAGATGTATAAGGCATACAGGACCCCAGCCACCTACAACCCAAACAGAGCTACACCCAGGCATATAATAATCAAAATACCAGAAATCCAATATAAGAACAGAATATTAAAAGCCATCAAAGACAAGAAACAGATCACTTACAAGGGAACACCCATCAGAATTACAGCAGACTTCTCGGCACAAACCATCAAATCACGAAGAGCGTGGGGGGAAATAATTCAAGCTTTGAAAGATAATAACCTCCAGCCAAGATAGATATATCCTGCACAACTGTCCCTAGAAATTGATGGAAAAACAAGGTGCTTCCAGGATAAAGAGGAACTGGGGGAATTTGCAACCACCAATTCAACTCTACAGAGATTACTGCAGGATATTCTAAAAATGAAAAATACCAAGATTCCAGAAAAAGTGGCAGAGAGGCCACAATGAATAGAGCAGAAAGCGAAATGAAGAGGACAAACTGACAGCTAATGACAGAAAAAGAGCTCAACAGAAATGAGACAGAGAAGGTTGGATGGTAGGAACAGCCATTTTGGAGAAAACAAGACATAATAGGTGGTGCTGATTTAATATCCTCTTGTTTTGAAGTCCCATCAAGCTTTTGTTCTTCTGTCTCCAGTGGTTTTAACGTGTTTTATCTTATTGGATTTTATTATATGTGATAATATAAACAAAAACTTTTATAGACAAGGAGGTTATATAGAAACCATTGTTTATTTTCTGTTAGTTGATTCTAAATACCCTGTAATACTGTCATTCTCTTGAATGGTTTTACATTGTCTTGATATGTTTGATGCTACAGTATACAAAGTTATACCCAAAGATTTTAAGGGAAGAGACGCTATGGTAACTACTATTATGTCGAGATTATCTTGTGGTGAAACACTATTTTGCTTAAATGGCTATGTTTTGACCTACGCTGTTTTGTTGTTATGCCCTCTTTTTTTTTTTATCTCAATCTCCTTTTTATTATCTACTTTTTCATTTTTATCCTTTTAATTATGGGAAAAATAAAAAATAAAATAAATAAAAAAATAAAAATAAATAAATTAAAAAATTAAAAATAAAATAAATAAAAAATAGCAGGATATATTATAGTAACCCACTTTGATTTCCTATTAACTTGATTTGAAACTCTGTATTGCTCTCACCATCTTGTTTTGACTGATTTTCCTCTATTCTGTTATGCTTGATAGTACCAAGTTTGAAAGTACAGGCAACAACTATGAAGACAGTAAGATTCATTGTGACGCCCATTCTGGTTGACCATTATCTTCTTTTGAAGTCCTCTAATGTCTCCAATGTTTTGGTTTTATTGGTCTTATTCTTTACTGTTTTGTTCAATTTTACTCTAACTGATGATATAGGCAATTCTTTTTAAGATAACAAGAGGCATTATGGTAACGATTGTTGGTCACCTTGTATTTTGTTTTTACATTATGTATTATGTCCATCCTTTTGATTTGACTGACTCTGTCGTAGTATGTCACATTTGGCTTTACTTTCTTCAAAAAAAAAGTAATAAGAACTGTGGGAGCAATAAAACCCAAAATGTGTAATTGTCATTGTACAAAAGAAAGGAAAAGAAAGTTCTCTAAAAGATATAACTGCATATATAGTTAAGTGTATACGATAGATAACCATATTACTGAGTTTTGTTGGATCGTTGAACAAAACTGTTTGCAGTCTCACTGTTTGAAAGTCCCCTCTATATGCTTTAATTTTGTAACTTCAACAACTATTTCTAAGATGACAATACGTAATTAATTAGTGATTTCCTACTGTTTATTTTTCCTGAAATTCTGTATAACTTGTACCCTTTTTGTTTTTTTTTTCTTTTTTCTCCTTAAATAAAATTAAAAAAAATTATTGTGCCATACTTCTGACTAAAACTCTTCCATATACTTCTCACTCTGGACTAAAGCACAGCTTCTTAGACTAGCAGATCACTCCGGTAGTTGTTGGCACCCATCAATTCTCCCAGGTGTCATCCCAGACTCTTCTCTACGGACTCTCCGTACTGGAATGCTGTGTTAGGCGGATGCCTATGGACGTCTTTCATTGAAACGGCTGCTGAAGAAAACAGTAGGTCTCTCTGTTAAATGCACTGACACTCACAGTGAGACTTGGACCCTGGCAATCTATTCTTCAGAGCACCGTGTACCTCTGCTCCCACCAGGTAACAGGTAAACTCGCCAAGTCATTTGTGCCTGTCCCCAAACTTGCTTAAATCAGAACTTGTAATTACATTATACAAGTTGATAAAATATAAGTACACAAAGAAAGACAGATTTTTGACATATTCATACTGTGAAAACATTTGACAAGACTTGATTTTGGTATACTGAAATATGTTTTAGGCAAATTGGGGTGGGAAGTTAAGATTGAAGATCTAAAGGCTGGAGTTCGTTAAAGAGTTAGGACATTATATTTAGAGTCTTTTGCAAATATTTTAAAATTCTTTTCCATTTTAGAGAAAGCAAAACTAGAAAAAGCAGATGATGTGATATTAGTACACATTAACTAAAAATCTTTTTTAGGGAAGGGAAGTAGAATCAATGATCCCACATTGAGAACAATGGCTTTGGTCTTGTAACATGCTACGGTCTGAATGTTGGTATCCTCTCAAAGTTCACAAATTGAAATCTTAATCTCTAAGACTACAGTATTAAGAGATGAAGGCTTATCAAAGAGACCCAAGGGACTTTTTTTGTTCTTTTCATGATATAAAGACACAGTGAGAGGTTGGTTGTTTGCAAGCTGGGTAAGAGCCCTCTGCAGAACCATGGCATTCTGATACTCTGATATTGAACTTTCCATCATCTAGACATGTGCAAAATAAATTCCTGTTGCTTGTGAGTTACTCAAACCATGGATTTTGTTAAGGCAGTCCAAGCACACTAAGGTATATCAAATATACCAAAACAAATATAACAAATATAAAAATAAATGGTTAAGGAATATACAGATACATTTTCAGTTAAAGTAAATGTACCAGGTAAGCACATATTGTGGTTGAGACCTAAAATGTTCCCCCCAAAGTCTGATGTACTCCAAAGTGGGGCTTTTGGATGGTCATTGGGTCATCAGGGCACACTACACATACAAGTGAATTAGCCCACTGGTGAGTTCATGTGCTGCTGGGAGGTGTGTCCCTGGGCAGATCTAGAGTGTGTAATTATTCTTTACCCAGACTTTTGACTTCCCTCTACTTTCTGGCTGCCATGGGTGACCACTTTCCCTCTACTGTGCCCTTCCACCATGGAGCCAGCCAGCCATGGATGGAATCCTATAAAAACTGTGAACCAAAATAAATCTCTCATCTTTCTAGTTGTGGGTGTTAGGTATTTTGTCCTGGCAGTGGAAATATTGTCTAATGAAACACATGCTATAACTTTATCTGGTTTTCAGGAGTAAGCAGCAATGCCTTACTGTTCCTGAGACAGCTAAAGAAAAGTCATCTGTTGTATTTCTGGCTCTCCAAATGTCCCTTTCTCACAACTCCATGACTCTAAACATGCTGCTTCCTCTTCCTGCTGTCCGGGGTCACCTGGCACATCCCGACCTAACCCTCACCACAAGCAACTGTAGCTCTCTGCACTACTACGTCAAGCATGATCCCCTTCATTTTGCTTCTTCTTCATTCTTTTTCCTTAATGTGTCCTTCATTTGTTTTTGTCCATTATTTTCTCTCCCAGCAGTGGAGCCTCCATTCCATATTTGCAAAGTGCCCCACCCTAAAGCAGTGCAGGACACATAAATGCCGTTTGCTCTTCTCCCTGCTGCTCATTGCGGGGACCCAGGCACACAGGCAAAACTTTGCTGCCATCAGTCACAGTAGTCAGCTCTGCTTTTACCTGGGCAGCTAGTAATATGAAGCTGGCTGGATGCTGCTGCTGAGACTACTCAGGGCCTGGGTTAGCATAGAAGTGGCTATTTTTAGTTCTGGAGATGCCAGTGGCAGAAATATAGAGTACTCTGTTACCTGTAAACTGACTCTTTTATCCTCCCAGTTATCCTATAAACCTCCTAATAGCTTTTAATAAATTATTTTTCTGCTCAACCTGGATTCCATTGCTTAAAGCTCAGCATCTTGACTGGTAGTTTGCCCTAAGGCAATGGTATGGCATTGTAACTTTCCCATGTATATTTTGCCCCATGTAATTGACAGCTTGGAAGATCTCATTTCATGTCTGCAGCTCTAGTGTCTAGCACCATATAAAAGAGTGCAGAGATTCTTAACAAATTGCTATTACATATTAACTACTTAACTGATGATAAAAAATTTCTCTGCAAACCCAAACCCACAAAATGACAGCAAATGACCTCAGAATATTTCCCATGAGTGAGAGCTGTGGTCTACTCTGGGTATTTTCTCGATCTGTAGTTTTTATAGATGACAGCATAGCCATAGTATCTAGTTAAATAGCATTTATTTAAATACAAGATGGCAGCATACATCATCTACTTATAAACTTAGCAGCTCTGCTAAATATCAGTAATGCATATAAAAAGTACACAAGTAAATCAAACACCTTCATTGTAGTGAATGATGAGCATTTTTAAGGGTAATAGACCAAACCAATGAACTGACAAAGTACCATTTCCAGATGTCTTACCACATATTCTCACTATCTTCTGGGTCAGTTCTAAGGTCAGTATCACCCCCACAAGAGCTAAAAAAAATAAGTATGCATATCTGAAGTAAACCACACTTGGATTTTCTGAAGCAAATTCCTCTGGAAGCCACACTAAAGAGAGGCAAAATTGATAGAAAATCAACTGAATAATCCAAAGTCCATTTGAGCCAATTGTGTTTTTTGGCCCAAATTAGTTGGCTGTCTCTCAGTTAACTCTTTATTTCATGCTACATGGAGCTGGTAGTTGACATGTCTGACTTATACATTGTCTTTGGTGAGGAATTTTTGTTTCTTGAAGAAATTCAAAAGAGGATCGGGCAGAATGAATTAGCAAACTTACATCGTTATTGTTTCTGAGTCTATAATCAAGCATTAGCAGCCATTATAAGTGTAATAGATGAATTTAAAATGCTTCCAATAACAGACACACACACCCCAAATTAAAATTATAGCAAGTACCAAACAACATTGAAATAGAACATTTTAGAGCTGAATAAGGCCCTTTAAAATCTCTGGATTACTTTTCCTTTCTTTAAGAGATTGTTTGTTTACAACAGGGATACAAATGAATATGAGTAACTAATTTGTGACCTCTGTGTCACCATGTTCTCATAAACTAAATATAGTATTATAAATCCTTCAAAGAATCCCTATGATTACAGTGTCAAAGGCTTAGGTTAGGCATGAAATTTTGTGTGACTTTCTCTTTCAGACTTGGCTCCCATGAAGTCAAAAGATTGAAAAGAAGTCTGTCTACCTGATGGAAAACATTTTTGCTACTTACGTACCAGGCAGATTACATCTTTCCTCCATGCAACTTAAGAAGTTTTTGTGGCATTTTTTTCTGCCCTCAACAGGGTACTTTCAACATACCCTGTTATAGAATTTCACATGATAATAATTTGTTTACAAGTTGTCATTTTTGTTATATTTTGCATTTTATCAAGTGGAATTCTATGGTTACATGGCTTCCAATCTCCTGTGTCTAACACTATGGTTGACATATAGCAGATTTTCTGTGTTTGAGAAGAAGGTAAGAGTACAACAAAGAAACCTAAGCAATTACAGAATTGTATTCATTACAATTATTTCAGAGGAAAGCAATTTGGACAGTAAAACATTCATCTGAAGAACAAAATGTTCTGATTATGGTTAGGCCTTATACCAATAGATAGGATCCATTAGTCCACAATGTAAACCTTGGTCACAGATCACACAGGACAAACACAAAAATATTTTGAAAAATAAAATCACTTAATCTCCCTAAATCAAATAAAGTGACAAAGAAGAAAATTTAATACATAAGCAACAACAGATGCTAAATGAATCCCTGAACCCTTCTGTTTTTACTTCCCTGAGCTATCTCTCCGACCTGTGTGATTCTGTGTACCACCAGGGTAGGCAGCCCGTGGGTGAGGGGCTAGCTGATGTTGCTGAGTGCCTTACTTGTCTTAAGAGTGCCTTATTTGTCAAAGGCCCCACTGTTCAGGGTCCATGATACGTTCTGCAATCCTGGACAAATGTATTTGGGGTAGCAGCAAGAAAATCCTGGTCTTGATAATTAGAAACAGAAATTCTGGACTTCTAATGTATTCTCTCCTGATAACATTTTCATAAAAACAAAATCAAATTGGCTTGATAGTCCTTTCTTACCTTTTCTTCCTTCTTGATATGACTGATCATTGTACTTTATACTCAGAAGTCCATTTATCCCTCACCCCACTTTCTTTCCCACAACAATTTTAATTGACATAACTATGTATCTTCATTTATGTGGCTCAATCCCAGATTATGCTTGATGTGCTGGAGTGATAATTTATAACTTTCCCTTTCACTTTCAAAAGTGATCCTTTGGATAATAAGTTGTATAACCATCCAATTATCTGTGGCACTAAAAGTTGGAACAGACTGTATATAAGAACAAAGGTTCACCGACAGGGAGACTGTAGTCAGACTCTGGGCATCTGATCTTGGGCTCGTCCTCATTTATGGACAACTTGAACAAGTTTCATAAGCCCTGAACCACAATTTCATCATCTATTATAGAGGGATTAATAATGATGATTATTATAAGAATGAAATGAGGCAAATGAAATGCACTTTGCACAGTCGTGGATATAAACTAAGTCTTATTGGCAATAATTGTCATTCTTATTTCTTTCCCTTCTTTCTTCCCTTACTCTCCCTGTTTTTTCTCATCCCTCTATTCTTTTCTTTGGCTTTTCTTTGAGTCATTCCTGCTCTTTAAGTCTTAAGGTCATCAAACACTACATGACTTAACCAACATGGTACATCAGAATGTTCCTCCCTCGTATGGAAGGAAACTGAAGCAGGAGGTCAAAGTGATGTTTCAGAATCCTGAAGACTAGGTGATTGAATAGCATTAATCTTGCCTTCTATGTGTTTAGAAGCAGAATAAGAACTCTAGACGTTGTTTCCTGACGTTATCTTCAGTTATAGTAGGGATGGTCTTGAGTTTCCTACAATTCACTGGTTTTTGTAAAAGCTAGACATGGTGACATAAGCTTCTTCCTGATTTTGCCTCAAAGAACTGAGGATGGGCTGTCCCTGAACACCTGGGTTCGCCGTCAGGATTCCTGATTGGTGAGGAAATGGTCGGAGCATGGTGTTGTCTGTAGTTCCAGAACTAAGCAGCAGGTCTTGGTACACATGAGAGCCACTTCTAATGCCCTCTCTGCAGTCTGGGGCCCAGAAAGAGGGGAGCATAGAGGGATTACATGCACTGGCATTTCCACCAGGACTTCTAATTGGTAATTCTCCTTTGAAAATTTCTGAGGTGATAATTGGAATCTGGGATGGCCAGTTGGGTTCATGCTCACTCCCTGCAAGTCCCTGTTTCTCAGACTCTTCTAGTTGTGGAGAAAGAGTATCTTGCAGAAAGTTTTCCACTTCATCTCTAGATTGAATATCATCAACCTTATGAATCTGGCAGTCCAAAAAACTTTCAGGATTGAAACTCACATTAAAATTCTGCACAGAAAAAGAGAGAGAGGGAGAGAGAGAGACATTAAGATGACACCAGAGGGATGGGCCAGCAAACACTCAGTTCAGGCACAGATCTAAAGAAACTTCTGACCGGGATTTATCAGGGAATGTCTGAGAATTGTCCACTTGTTCTTGCACTTATGGAGGTGCTGTGACCCCTCAGGGTTTGAAATGACCACTTGCTATGCCTTCCAACCTTGACAAGCCCAGAAGTTCTGAGACTGGCATCTTATTTCAGTTTCTTACCTACGGGAACTGTAGCTAGCATCTTATGTAGAATCCTAGCTAAGGGATGCATACAAGACCGGAAGTTGAGATACAGCTATTCCTCATCCTGGTATACTGTTTTTAGTTACTAGGATGGCACCACCATGGTGCTTCTTTAAATACCAGACACACTTACTTTTTCAGGTTTCTTACACAGCTGTTCCAGAGCCTTCTTATGATCAGGAAGACTTGGCCATATAATAGGCTTAATCCTGAAATCACAGGACATTGATAGATAAAGCACATGGCAGAAAGAACAGGCCCCAAAAATCTTTCTACTTATTCTGAGTTGGGAACCACAGCTAATGGGTGACTGTGGACAATTGACATGCTTCCTCTGAGCCTCAGTGCACTATCAATAGAAGGGACGCTGGACCAGAGATCATTGTTATTCATGTACTCTTTGAACAAGCTATTAGGATGGTGCATGCAGGAAGAAGAGGCTTCTAGTGGGAAAGAATCATGATGTTGGAACAAGATAATTTTGGTGTCACTTTGAAACTAAAATTTGACCTGGTCATTTGCTTCCAGTGTGGATGTTGTCACCATGCCCCTTGCCTTTACTGATCATAATTCCTTTGCTCTACTTTTCATGGAAGTGAGGAATATGTTCTAAGTTACTCAGGGAAATTGCTTAAAGGCAGTGTTTTTTAAATTGGTGGGTTTGTGATCCTGGATCCATGGCTAAATGCTGAACACATCTTATTATATTAAGTAATTTTATTGGCATGATTTTTATATTAGGAATAGGGTTTGCCTTGTGTTCAGTTTGTACATTTTGGCTTCTTATGAAATCAGTTGTGAAATTTCACTGGCACCTGAGAATTGGGAGGGGCAAACACTATAATTCCTTCTATAACTAACTGCATTTTGCTAAGTTCTCATCAGTAATTGGGGCTCAAGCTTTCACTAAGTGATTTTCCACACAAATATGTTCCAGATTATTTTTAAAAAGTCACCTTTTTTTCCATAATGCACAGGCTAAGATGACCAACAGAACCACAGAGAAAAAGCTGGTAACACTGATAGTTAGTAAAACAGGATTCATCTCTTCTGAAATACAGGCATAGATTGTGATTAGCATTCAATAAATACAGAGTTAGGTAAACTTTCAGAAACACTGAGTTTGTTTACTATGGGATCTTTTGTTATTTCTTTTTTTGGGTCTTGCTGTTAGGGTCTTGCTGTGTAACCCTTGGCTGTGAACTCATGGTGATCCTCCTGCCTCAGCTTCCTGAGTGCTGAAATTACAGGTGTGTGCCACTATACCCAGCATCTTTTTGTTATTTCTTGAAAGTTGTCCTTTGGTAAACAGGAAGATGTGTCTGGTTTAAGTGACACTGACTTGAGTGACTAGAGCTAGAACATCAGCCACTTGAAACGTGGAAGTGATCTAGTATCAAAGGTACCACCAGTCTCCTCCCAACTCCTTCCATCCATAGAAAGCAGTCACAGTACGGCTGAAAAGATAAATGTTCACCCTCAGGTCATAACAAGTACCAGGATGAGAATGGGAATTTGGCAGCACACTGTTACAGCTTTCCTAACCCACCTGAGGGAGGGTCTACATTGATTTTTGGGGAGTTATTTTCCTATTCTTTGATTTTTCTGGCTAATATTACTTTGTAAACTCCAAATACATCTTCATAATTTTGGAAAAGGAGATATAGGACAGCCATGCTGACCTTTCTACATCCCATCAAAAAAAGCATTCACTAGGGAATTTTAAAGAACCCAACTGTTGAGATCCCTAAATTGGTAAATAGAAGGTAGCCATGGGGATTTGGATAATTAACAGCTCCCAGGAATACCCGAGGCAGTGGCATGAAGAAAACTAGATCAGTTATCAGCTATTAAGGACTGCTGCTCCCACTGTTTATAAAGAAAGACATACAGAGCAGAGATGGGAGTCTGATCATTCTCCAAAGGGAATGGAAGAGCGCCCTCCCGGGTGTCCTAACCACAGGTTCATTGCATCACTCTCTGTCTCCCTTTCTACTCCACACATTGACTTATAAAGTGTGAGAGGCACGAGGGCTTTCTATAGCGATTGCTCACCTGCACTGTTGGCCTCTGGAGTTTTGAAGTGGGAACTTGGACTCCATTCGCTCCAGAAGCCTTTGTAATAGTCACTATGAGGGATGGATCGGACTTTAATCTCATACATTGCGTCAGGTTGTAGCTTTCTCTGTGGGATTGTCAGCCTTGTGTTGGATATATTGACATGCTGAAGAGTAAAATATGCCATTAGATATTTTTAGGATATAAAAAGAAGTGTCATTCAAATTTCCCAAATCACTATGAGATGAACTTCTTTAGAATTTTGGGCATCCTTGTAGGGTTCTCCCATATTTGTTAAATGAAGGAAATCAAGTATGTGGAGGGTTTAGTAACTGAATCAGGAGCAGATTCTCTGAGCTCATAAATGATGCCGTGAGTGATCAAAGAGAATTGTCACGATATAAATTGTATTCAGTTGAGTTAGGCTTCAGAAAGACACACATAACTCCCAGGATTTCATCTTCATTTCTGTGACCAAATAAATTCTTTAGTTTCTCTTTCCTTTCACATGTCAAAGGGAAATGAAAGAACAGGTTAAGATTAAGGAGCAAGAATAATTTAACCCCAGAAACATGTCATTTTGTGCTGTGAGCAGCAATGTACAGACAGCAGTTCCCCCAAAACTATGTATTATCCTTAAGGAAAAATTAAGAATGGAAACTTTGCATCAATTTGGAGGGTAAAAAGTAATATTCCATTGTAACTTACATTTATTTATTTATTTCTGTATATATTTATTGAATTTATATGTCTTACTCATAAAATGTTTCCAGGTGTTTGCTTTTATATGGGAATCTTTTATCTTTTTCTTAATAATTCATGGAAGCTTTTTATATAGATATTGATCATCTGTCAGCTGTATATGCAGCAATTTAATCTTAATCTTAACTTTTAATCTGCCTCATAATCTTGGCTGTATGTTGGCACAGATAAGCATATGGTGGGGGTCAGACACTTAATCAGACAATATATTGCCCTAGAAGTATTTATTCAAAATCTTTTCTTTCTTAACCGTATTTGATTTTCCATTAGTATAGTTTTCAGATGAATAATGAAGAGGGTAGGAAAATATGTAACATTAAGCAGTTTTTGATTAAGCACATGGTTGATCTACATACCATCCAGTTGTTTCCGTCCTTTTCCTGGCAGTAGGCTACATCGTGCATTAATTGTTTTACATATTTCTTTTGCAAGTGTGATGTATTAAATGTCACTTCAAAGTCATTTGCTCTTTGACGATAGTTAACTTTTAAGTCAAAGGGAGCCTCAGGTTTAACTGCATAGGAAAAAGAAATCATGTCTGTCTATAAAGCCATCAAGAAAATGATCGTTTATAAAGCCATCAAGAAAATGATCGTAATTTTTAAAGTCCATCTATTCTGCAAACCATTCCTACACTTTCTGTGTCAGTAGCTAACTTACTAATAAAAAATCCATTTCTTTCTTTTTCTTGGGTTCAAATGTAGATCATACTTCTGAACCTCTCTTGCAACTGCTACGTCCTCTCGAAGTGACTAACCCAGCTTCAGTTTGACCCCGAGAGCTCTCACAGGTAGATAATTCTCTTGCTCAGTCTCCTTCTATCACTCGGACTCATATGCTGGATAGTAGAGTCACAAAACAGAGGGAGCCCTAAGTTTTCTTACAGAAGCACCCTCTGCAAGGTAGGAATAATCATTTTTGCTCTTATGTGAATGGGTAAAGAATTAACTGAGGGTGTCAGATACCATACATTTGTGGGGCTATTTATTGTAGCAGCTGGTGTTAATTTTATATTAAAATGTATTCTCTGTGTCTGTAATACTAAAGAATTTGGTAGCAACTACCCCAAAGCAGTAAAATGTAAACTTTGAGTTTTCATTCTTCCAGCAAAACTAGGCTACAGCTGGAAAATTCTGCACTTCTCAGTTTATAGAAGGGGAAGATATGCATCCTACTGCCTACTTTTCTTCTATATTGCTCTGGAGATACTAAAAAGAACTGAATTTTTCTTTATCCTTGAGTTTCTTGTAAAGAGGTGGTTTATCCTTTTGCACCCTTAGAATTACTATAAAAAAGCAGGATGTCTTAGACTTGAAGGGAGCAGGATGCAAGGTGGCGGGTGTAGAGATAAGCCCAGTAGGCAATCCTGGTGGCCTTCTTACCTCTGTCCTTCATTTACATTCACAGCAAAAGCTTCTGAGACGGATCCCCTGCCTGTTCCATTTCCCAAGGACTCTCAATAATAATAGAGGAACTCAGGGAAGAGCAGAGCAGATCCTGATTACACACCTACCAGACAGAGTATTTTGCTTATGCTGACTTCAACTGATAGCCACTCATCTACCTATGATGATGAGGAAACTGAGTTTTAATTAATTGAGATTAATTAACTGCGTTCTGGCACCTGAAAATGGCTTTAACAGGATTTGAATTTCATTTGGCCTGCTTCTGATTCTCACCCTTTTTCATTTAGCTTTGAATTTTTCAGCCTGCTCTTCCATGTTGGCTTGTCCAGTTTTCCAGACAATTCTGCCTCCAGCTCAAATGCATCTGCACAAATTAGGAAAAATGTCTCTTTTCTGAATCAATATTTTAAAAAGTTAATATGTTCTTATACAGTCTGAACAATCACATCAATGTACATGTCTAATCCAAGTGGGAAGGCAGGAAGCTGCACTCTGTGGCCTTGTTAGGTGAGGGGTGGGAGCTCTGGACTTGGGGTTTAATCAGGAATATTCATTTTCAATTCATTTCTGTGGTAAATCCATGAATTAATTATCATAGTAGGAGCTGGGATGAGATGTTGCTGTGAAACTCCATCATATCTCATTCTGCTTGCCCAAAAGTGTTTTCCAAAGGCCCCAGAGGCTCAACCCATGCCTTCCATGGGACCTATGCAGTCTGCAGTGTGTCTGTTCTGCCTGTCTTCTGTCCCTCAGAGATGAGTGAGGTTTTCAGTCTACTTGTGCATGCAGAAAGTAGGTCTCTAAGAGCATTTGGAACATGAGATCTAAGGATTTAGATATAATAGCTGTCATCTGGAGCCTTTAGGTATGTATTTATATACATACAGGGGTTTGTGTGCTGGTAGAGTTTTATATAAGAATGAGCTTTTCCCTCATGCTTCAGCAAACTCTCAAAATACCATATATTTCTGCCTTCTATCAGAGAAAATAATGTACATTTCCAGTGTAATATTTAAGTAAGAGATACTTAAGTATGATGACTTCATGCAGTGCATAAGCTAACCAACCATTCATAGAAGGCTGGCTCCCATTGTCCCAAACCAAGCTCCTCATGCCTCAGACTCTGAGCTATCCTGTTCTTGGCATCCTCATTCTGGACAGTGCTAGCACTCTGTGGCAGTGCTGCTTAATGTTTCCTTTTGAAGTACATTTGCTTTTAATCCAAGATTTGTGTTCACTTATAGAATTTCTGTTTTATTTTTTTATTTTGCCATCTTTGGAGTGTGTGTGTGTGTGCACATTGTGTGGCTAGTGGGAATTAAACTCAGGGCCTTTTCCTAGACTAAGCTATGGTGTTCATCTAACTGGTTGAATTCAAATCTAAAGGTATTGTTTGAAAGATATGTTTGAAATTTAAATCAGTAGACTTTCAGTGGAACAGAGCACCTTCCAGATGTGGTAGGTACCACCATTCAGTCAATAGAGGCCTTAATATAAAGACTGTGGTTCCTTGAAGAAATTAGTTTCAAGAGAAGTGAAAAAAAAATCTGCTTGAGTTTCTTGGCCAGCAGAATTTAGATTCAAGGATACAACATTCACTCTTGTCTGAAATTTTGGCCTTTTGTTTTATCATGCAGTTTGAAATTGGCAACCTCCAAAAAATATCTATCTGTCTATCTCTCTCTCTCTCTCTCTCTCTCTATCATCTATCTGTCTATTATCTATGTATCTATGATTTCCTTCCCTTCATCCTATTGTTTTTTCCCCTCTAGAAAACTCTAATATAGAAAGCATATGTGCTTTCAAACATAGCTTGATAATTTAGCTAAGTACTCTCACTGTGTGAAGAGAGGACTACCAAAAATTCAGAAGACAAGGTAAAGAGGAAAGGACAAATGTCAGTGGATGACAGGAGGCTTGACTCCAGCTAAACTCTTCATATTGATTTGCTCTTTCCTTGATCTATAGGTGTAAAAACTCTCTTTCAAAGCTCAGTTTGAAGATCTTTATAATTCTTTCGCCTTAAGAATTGGTACTTCTAAGTGTTAGGTTTTTCACTTATTTAAAAATTGCATTGGATAACTTGCTGTTATCTATTGCAGATTGTTCTCACAATTTGCCTATTTTTAACACATAGTAAGTCCAGACAGGCTGCAAGTATTGAAAATGTGATCATCACATGAATGCACAGCTGCTTACCTATATGGACTATTTCCACACTTTTACAAGCTAGATTCTCTTCTCTTAGCTTCACACATATCTTGCTCTGACCAATCATTAAGAATTTCTTTGTCTTGATGAAATATTTCTCCTCTTGTAGTTTATTAAGATTCATGCAATCTATCCCCACAAGACTCTCACTGTAGAAACAAAAAGGGAATGTCTGATTCAGGAAACATTTCTATACACACTGGGATAGCATCGTAGCACATTTCAGGCATACAATTTTAACTTTGGTGTTTTTAGGTCAGGGGTGCTTGGATGCATGTTAATGGAGGGAGTGAATGAATTAAAACAATGTGGCTTCCTGCTGCCATTTTATTTAATGCTGATTGGCTCCCAATTTCAGTACAAGTATATCTGAAATAGGTAAAAGACACCCATGACAACTAGAGGAAATTTCTATATGTTTATAATTGATTATTAAAAAAAAGTTGTTTAGGTAACAAGATAATTGTGTTTTTTTGTTATTGGAATAAATGAAAGACTATAAAAGAAACATTGACAAAAAATTAAAGAAAGTCTTTTGAAAAAATACTATAATAATCTTACGATTATTATAGTATTTTAAGATTATAGACACACATATATTTAGTGGGTAACCTAAGAGACTTTTATAGATAATTTTGGGTGATGAGCTCTAATAAGATAGGTAAAGAAAAGACAGCTAAGATATAAGTTGTCAATATCTTAAAGAAGATATCATTGTAGATCATGGAAATATCAAAGTTAAAATAAGGAAATTTAAAATCTATGACAAAGCATGTAATAACTTTTATGTGGTAAAATGTATTCTTAAAATTACAAAAATAATCAAACTGATGCAAATTGAATACCTCAATAGTTCTTTTGTTTTAAATAAATTATATTTATTATCAAAAAACTTCTCACAAAGAAAATTGTATGCTTGTGAGTTAAGAGCTAGTGAATTCTACCAAATGTGTAAGAAATAAATAGTCTTATGAAAATTTCTTCTAGAAAATAGAGATGGAGTACATTCTTTCAAATTATTTTATGAAGGTATATTAACTCTGGTGGCAAACTTGGCAAAAATATTTTTAAATAAAAGGAATCTACAGAAGAAAATCCTCAAAAATATATGTAAAATTCCTCATAAAACTATTTACACATACATTATAACTAAGTAAAGTGATCCTCTGGGAACTAAAACAGGTCCAATATTCAGAGATCAATCAATTTAACTTACCACAAAAACGGAAAAAAGATGTAAATAATCAGTTCATCTTCACTTGATACAAGTATTTAGATGAAAGAAACAAAGCACCAGAAAGGAAAGTCCATCACAATCACAGCAAACTTCTCAACAGAAACCCTTAAATCAAGGACTTAGAGTGAAGTATTTCAAGTCCTAAAAGAAAACAGCTCCCAAACAAAATCTATGTACCTTGCAAGACTTTCTTTCAAAATTGATGGAAAAATAAGATACCTCCATGACAAAGAACACCTGAGTAAATTCATGACCACAAAATGAGCTCTTCAGAATGCTTTGGAAGATATATTAGAAAGAGGAAAAAAGATACCACAATTACAAGAACACCAATAGAAAGAAGCCACCATACAGGGCAAACAATTAAACAGAGGGGAAAGACAGGGACCCATTAGTAGGAGAATAATATAAGAAAGATAAACCACTAAATATTTGTTATAACCATCAATGTAAATGGTCTCAATTCACTAAACAAAAGAAACAGACTGGAAGACTGGATTAAAAAACAAGATCCAACAATATGCTATATTCAAGAAACACATTTAACTAAAAAAGAAATTAATATATTGAAAGTCAAAGGATGCAAAACAATATACCATGAGACAGGATCCCCAAAAAATGGTATTCCCAAAATTGATATACAGATTTAATGCAGTCCCAACCAAAGTACCATTAGCCTGCCTCACATAACTAGAGAAAATATTCCTAAAATTCTTTGGAGTCAGAAATGATATAGAACAGCAAAAACAATTCTTGGCAAGGAAGAGAGCATTAGACTTCCTGACTTGAAATCATATTACAAGGTTACTGTGATAAAAACAGCATGGTACTCGCATAAAGATATACCTGAGGACAGTGGTACAGATTAGAAGATGCATAAACAGCTCCAAACACACTCAACCACCTTGTCTTTCATGGAGGAGCCAAATGCATTTGCTGGAAGAAAAATAGCCTTTTTAATAAATGGTACTGTAAAAACGGGCTTTCCACAATGCCAAAACTAGATCCATGTCTATCACTATGCACTAAACTAAAATAAAAATGGATTCAAGACCTAAATATTAAAACAGAAATGCTAAATCTTCTGAGAGACTAAGCAGAACTCTCAGAGACATAAGTGTAGGTGAAGATTTCATGAAGAAAACCCCAATTGCACAGGAAATAACACAAAGAATCCATAACTGAATCTGATTCTATTAAAAAGCTTTTGCACATCAAAAGACATCACCACCAGAGTGAAATGACAATTTACAGAGTGGGAAAAATTTTAGCCAATTGTTCTTGGGACAAAGGACTTATAGTTAGCACATATAAAGAATTTAAAAAAAATCAGTACCCACAAATTTAAGGGTTCAGTCTGAGATGAATACATAATTCTCAGATGAAGAACTACAAATGGCAAATAAATATATGAGAAAATGTTCAACATCACTGGTTATTAGAGAGATGAAAATTAAAACAATCCTGAGACTCCACCTCACTCCCAAAAGAATGGCTACCATCAAGAAATCAACCAACAATAACAAATGCTGGAGGGCCTGGGGAGAAATAGGAGCACTCTTCCATTGTTGGTAAGATTATAGATTGGTGCAAGTACTGTGGAAATCAGCATGGAGATTCTTCAGAATCTTCTCTTTGTCCCAGCTTTTCCCCTTCTAGGTGTCTTCCTGGAAGAATTAAAAGCATCATACTACAGCAATATATGTGTTCCTATGTCAACAGCAGCACAATTTGCAATAGCTAAATCTTGGAAATGATCCAAATGCCCATCACCTGAAGGATGAATAATGAAGATGGTTTTTTAAAAATATATAATAGAGTACTACTCTGTCATAAAGAAGGATAAATTTGAGACATTTTTAGGTAAATGGATGTAACTTGAGACCATGCTCTTAGATGAAATAAGTTTGACTCATGTGTAAACATTGCATTGTCTCTCTGGTGTGAGAAACTGAATAAGGACCAAAATGTGCAATAGATACTGTGAAATGGGAAGAAATTGTTCATAAGCAAAGAAAAACTAGGTTGGGAGAAAGGGGAAAGGAAGGAAGGGAAAAGGAAAAAAGATTTAAAAAAAGGATAAATGGAAATAAAGCTTTGTAAATAGGAAGACGAATAGAGGTTGAAGGAAGGAGAGAAGATTGGGGGAAGAGAGGAATCAAATTATGTCACGTATGGGTACAAATTCCCTATGATGAATATGATCATTATGTATTTCTAAAATGTACCAATAAACTTAATTAAAAATGGTTAATTTATCTATTTAGTTTTTCTTTGAAAAAATTTAGCTACTAGAGAATTTAGAATTATCTATGTGGCTCACAGATTTATCAGTTCCATTCTATATCTGGCAGACAGAGCTCCTCTAGGGTGTGTGGTGTGGGTGTCGAGGGGTAGTGGGAGCTCAGCAAGTATCCAAGTAGTATTATAAACTGGTGAATTTCATCCTGTACCACCTTCTTGGGGGCATCAAAGCTAAACCACTTACACAAATATCCTGGTTCTGAAAACAGGAAGAGACTACTGGGGACAATGCAACCTGACTCAGCCTCATACCTACCCTCCAGGTCCTCCAGTGTTATGGAGATCAGTAAGAGATATGCATTTCTCTTGTTGGTGCAAACAGGTTATTTAATTGGAAGTATTAAAACAAACAAACAAACCTCTGTTGGTTTCATTTTTACTTGACCCTGAAAGACAGAATCTAGCTCAAAAATAATGGGTATAATGATTATTTCAAAAAGAACTAAAATAATAATACTCAACAGTTATCTCTAGTTAAACCTAGAATATCAGGGTGTAGCCTGTGACAGTAGTGGTAATCGATGAAAACAAAAACTGACGTATTTGAAGTGGTATCTGTAGGCGGTAGATGGGAGTGATTGTGGTGCCCCCAGAAGTGTGGAAAGAAAGGTAATACAATTACTCTGTAAGGGCTGACTGTGAAAATCATGCAAAATACCTAAAAAGCAGTGTCTCAAATTGAAATGCCATGGGGTCTAGACATTAAATTTCTCATCTGTAAGAAGCATCTAGAATTTTATTTCAGTTTCTTTTTGCTATGCATAGACCCAGACATATCAGATCTGACTTTTGTAAATACCTAGATTTTTCCCCCCAGTACTGAGGATTGAATTTAGGACCTTGCACAAGCTAGGGGTGCCTAGATTTTTAAACACTGATGACTAATATTTTTTAAATGAATCACATCAAGATCTGCATCAAATGCCTCTACTCTTAAATTCAACAATTCTTTTTGTTTTGGTTCTCTATTAACTTTTATGTGAACAATGCTTTGACCATATTTTTAATGAAAAATCCAACCACACTGAGAAAATTAGGTACCATTTTGAGACATTATCACAAGCCAGGTACTCATCTCTTATTCCTTGTTACAAAGAGAACCTAAGTAACATGCCACCTCCAGAGCAAGTTCAGCATTGTCATAGGGGTTCCATCCCTAGCTGCTTTTTTCCAGAGACTCTGCTTTGTAACTGAAAGCACCTGAGGTCTGGCTGCCATATTGCTGAATGAAAAGATCAGGATTCTCCAGTAAAGGTGGATTTGTATTGATATGCTACCAACTGGCATATGGTCTTTTCATCCTCTGCCAACTCCTGTAAGTCCTGTGTCCAGTATGAATATTTGGTCACTGTGATTGTTGGGTCAGTGTGAAGTAGGCAATTGACATGTTGATAACCTAACTGTGAATTTGGTCAATCCAAGTCCATCCTTGAGACCAACACAATAAACACTAACTAAATCAGTTTCACAGCCTGCAAGGCTGGTGTCCAGATCTAGGGTTGGTGTTACATTCACCACTTTCTGAGAAAGAGGACCTGGTATCTACCAAAAAGTCTGCCTATGTAACAACTACACCATAAGGTCCAGTAAATTGCAAATTTTATTCTTCATAAATATATTAGCAGGAAACAAACACTCCACCAAAGCTAGTTTCACTGTGGAAAAGAAACCTAACCTAGTTGGCAAATAGAGCCTTCTGTGCAACTGAATTTAGTTATTTATTCTGATGAGACCAATGTGAATCTCCTGCTTAAAGTAAAGATCCTCTTAAGGAACTGGCTACTCTCTCTAAGTATTTTGTTCTATTAAGAAGTTCTTATTTACTATTTCACAATGAAAGCATGTCTTAAAAATCTTTTTTCAGTGGAAATAACTAAACTCAACTAGAAATCCAAAATGGGGGTGTTGGACAGACTACATTATGTCAGGCAAAATCAATAGACTTATCAAAGGAAGTGAGCATGTTCAAGCAGACATGGAAGTGGTCAGTGCTATGCATGAAAGTGGGCAGAAAGGTCAGCCTCATGCTGGCCAAGGAAATCTACAGTATTCATAGCAGTCAATCAACCAGTTATAGAAAACCCAAAATCAAACCTCTAGATGGGAGGGCGTTTTGCCCAAAATAATGAGTGTGTCATTAGAATGAGTTGTTTGGCTCTTTAACTGTAGTTTATCTGCAGCCATTCTGGACAGTGTAGGTTCCTATACTCTCTAGAAGGAATTATAGAAGTGAATAAACAGAGGTAGATTGAATATATAGTATGGAATACAAGTGCAAGAATATATTCTCCCAGTAATTGCAGCATAAAGTGCTGCCTGAGTAGATGCAGGAAATTTCAGCAAAACTGCTTATTTCATAGGAAGCAGACCAGGGAAACAGTGCCAAAAATGAAGGGGCCAGTGACCACACATGGGTCCCAGGTCACACCTCCATGACCAGCAAGAGACACACAAATGTATGATTTATTAATCCCCTGAATGGCTTCAAAGTCAATTAAGTTGACAGTCCTGTCAGAAAATTAAGATGGAATTCAAAGCTTGTCTGTACAATGCATGGTATTGTCTTGGTGTCTATGGAATTTAAAAAGTTTTCTTTTTACAACTGGTGGATCTTAACTTACTCTCCCAAGTAGGAAACTAAAAATGAGGCTCTCTGGTATTAATTTGGAGACAGCTACTTTCAGGATTTCACATTAGAGCAATGTTAAAAAGAATCATCAGACATAGTAATTCTTGGAAACAAGAGATGATTTGTTGAGGGAGAAAGAAACAAGTTCCCTAGGCTCTATTAATTTTCAAGTCAAAGATTTGTCTTTTTCTCTGGCTTTTATCTGAGGCCTCATGAAACTGAGAACTAACATATTTCTGTAGATTTTGGAAAATTTATATTAAATGGATCATCTGGAATCAAACTGTATCAAGGAGGTGAAAGTTTTAGGTATATATTCATAGTAAAGATTGAACATTTTTTTCATTACATTCTTTATATACTGGACGATTATTCTGAGGGTTTCGCATGTACTGAACTATTTAATCACCATAACCTTCCTGTAAGTTTGATTATTTCATGGTATAGGTGAGGAAATTGAGGACAAATAGGTTATGTAGCTTGATCTAGATACAGACATCAGTATGTTTTATATTGGCATTAGAAACAAGCAACTTCACTACAAAATGCATCTTGAAAACAATAGATATCCTGTTAGACAAAAAAAAAAAGATTTTTTTGAGAGGAATAGTCTAAGAGAAGTACAGTTTAAATTCTTTAATTTTTTTTTTTTTTTTGGTACCAGGGCTTCAACTCATGATTTTGTACTTGCCAGGCAGGTACTATGCTGCTGAACTATATCCCCAGCTAGAGTTTAAATTCTGTTGCGAACTCCACAGGGATGTGAAATCTTCAGGATTTATAGTGTTGTAGCCTTGGGACCTGACAGAGGAACAGTGAGAATTGCTTTGCTTTGGTCTTTTAGCAAAGGATTAGGTGTTCAGGAGGTTTTGGGCAATTATTAGAGTTCCATATACCATTAGGCAAGGCATTCCTTTTGCTGCTACTGTAAATAGAGATGGAAATAGAGACAGAAATTATTTTTAAACATTGTAGAAACCACCTTCCTCACCATATTTCAAATTCCAGATTGGTGCTGTTGATGTCTGGGTCATCAAAAGCACAGGTCAGTGAGTGCTGGGCTCCATCCACTTCCAACTGAGCATAGCAGGAGAATGCGTAATCTGTATCTGACTCCGCATCTTCCAAATCTCCTGGTGGAACACACACAGTGTTACTGAGGCAAAAAAAATGCATTTTGAAAAACTCAAGTATGACCTTAATAAAATGGCAGACTTGTGGCAGACATGAAGTGATAATATTTTATCTAAAGAGGGAAATACCAGGACAAAGGCAAGAAAAAAAGATTTTAAAACAAAAGCTCAATGTGCAGTTTTCTAACAGAAAAGAAAGATCACCCTCCTTAACAAGTAACTTCCAAATATTTTAGCCTTAGTGAAAGTACTAGAAGCAGGCACTGAAATGAATATTTTATTAAAACCCAAATGTCTTCTGATGTGTTTGTCGCAATGAAATGCACATTTCAATTAGAAAACCTGTATATTCATCATGTATATGCTACCTAATTTAACCTTTGACTTCATTACTAGTCTTTTATTTCCTTCCATTGTTTTCAAATGATAGGAAATGATAACTATCATACAGTTAGAAGTTCATTTCTTAAAAGATTTCTTTCCCTTGTAGAAAAAGGGTATCCAACGTAAAAGCAACATTAATATCTCCATTTTGTCATAGTTTAAGAAAATGTATCTGAAGTCACAGACTTAGACAAACATGATAAGAAAAATTCAGTCCTGTGAATGTTATGCATACTGTCTCTGGTTTTATTGATTCTTAATTTATAAGTACTATTTTTTATAGATAACAGTGCTATTCTGGAATAAAGTGAAGTAGATATTTTTCAAAGTCACTTTTGTAAAGTACAATTGATCAGATAGTATTTGATTTTTTAACATGGATTGCAGACTTTATGGTTAAGTAGGTATTTTGTATGCGTATTTCACAATATTCAATAGAAGTGTGGGGCTGAAACAAATCTACCAGCAAACGCAATCCAAGTGGCCCATGAGGAAATCCATAGTAATAGACCCCTTCCTAGATGGCTGAGAGTGAGTCTCTTACTATTTCCATTAATACCTGACATTTGATACTTCTAAGACATTAAAATAAATATGGAACAGCTTATAATTGAACCCCCACAGAACGCTGCAGAGGCCATGGGTAGTCCAAGCTGCACTCTCTATTTAAGTAACCTGGTAGGTGTGGGGAAAGTTAACGACCTGGTTGCAAATGGATCAACCACTTGAGTGACAAGTGGGCTCACTGAAAGCAACACGTCTCTTAGCAATTCAGTTAGGTCAGAGCTGTGGGTACTGCTCACAACACAGACATGTGTCTTTCCTACCACACCCAGACTCATCTAGCTCCTGATTCTAATCCAGCAAGATTCCCTGTGTCATTGTAGAAGAGTTCATCCAATGACAATGTTAAATAACACAAGGCAGCCACCATTTAGTACTCATCCTTAAACTATGTTTCTTTGTAATTTTGAGGCTGCAGGTCTGTTTTCTAAGAGCATCCTCATAAACATAACAGTTTTAAGTAGGATGGGGCTCCTTTTCATGCTAATTTTCACATTGCCTCGAAATTTTCTTTTCTTTGGACCTTTCATTAACCCAAATAACAGAAAATAGATTACCTTGTAGATTCAAGCGTCTTATGGGTCAGCTTTTTCTATGTAACTTTGCAACACACAATGTAAGCTAGACAGAAGATACTTTTGTAGATGCCAGGCACCAGGAAAAGAAAGAACATCTGTTGACAGCCATCCAATGTGGCAAGATATGTTTGTTGCATAATCTTATACAATATATAAATCACGGTTCATTCAATTTCTTCCGCACTTAGGAAAGCAGCTGCATTAAACAAAAAACAGCTTATTGGCTCTTTAACAGGTCTAGACAGAGCTGTTCAGTAACTAAGAAAAATTCTCCCATAATATTGCATTACATTCAACAAAGAGAGTATTCTTGATTGGCTAGAAAAATTTTAGGTAAAGTGAGGTACATAGTACTGAAGACTTTTGTTTTTGTTAGTGAAGAGGTGTGGGTTTAAATTCAGCCTGTTCTCCTGCAGTTATGACCCTCTATGAAGTTGCTCTGAGGGTCTTCATATATAAATTCATGCTACTGGAATTGTTGAACAGATCCATAGAAAGTTAGCTTGAAGACAATAAACACAGTTTAGAAGACAATAAATATTCTGTAAGGGTGTGATTATCATAGTTTCTAAGAAATAAATCATAAAAAAATAGGAATTCTAATTTGAAATTAGAATGGATAATTAGAGTTCTTTTGAAAAAGGGTTCCATATCAAGTGAATGTATCATCATATGGTTTTGAAATTACATCGCACTTTTCCTTTTTTGGTTTTTTGCAAGCAGCATCTTGCTATGTAATTCAAACTAGCCCTGAATCCCTATGTAGTCCACAGTGGCCTCAAACTCACAGTGATCCTCCTGTTTAGCCTTCCAAATCCTAGTACTACAGGCATTTACCACCATGCGTGTCATCATTTGTCAACAGTGAATTAATCTAGTATTTTTAAATGCTCAAGTATTAACACTATTAATATTTTAATATCTAATGATTTTAAATTAAAGTTTTTTTTAAAAAATTTAACTTTTTTGGCACATGTTTTATAGGCAAGGCATTATATAGTTCAAAAGACTTCTTATTCAATGGAATTAGTTGATTAAATGGAACAATTTAAATGGTTTTTAAAAAGTATTCTTTCCTATCTTTATCAACCTGTGGTTACGAGTGAATGAACTTACCTTTCAACAAATAGCAACTGATTATTCTGTAAATTCCTTGTCTCCAAACTGGCAAGTATTTTGATAGGCTTATGTGAATGGGTAGTTATAGACCTAAAAATATCTGGTATTTTAAAAGTTGAAGTGAAAACCGTTTTCAGTTGAAATTCTTATTTCTTTAAAAACTTTCATAACCACGAGGAAGAAAAAGGGTAATACCTCAAAAACAATAAAGCTGTCATGTTTCTTATCATGCCCGTAAAGAAACAGGAATGGATATGATCATCCTTCGAAAAGTGATTCATACATGGTCATGATATGAAAAATGTCACTTCTCTGACAATTCCCTTAATGAGAAAATGCAAGGGTTTTCCATCATTGGTAAGTACTAAGTAAATTGGCTCAAAATATCTGAGCTAATGAAATACGACTCAGGAAACATGACTCAAAATGTCTAAGATGAATCATTAGGCTGATGAGTTGATACTGTCTTTTAGGAAAATACTTTTTAACTCTTAAAGTGAAGAGGCTAAATTTGTAAGAACAATTGTTGGTCTCAGGGGCTCCTGCAGCTACCAAGATACTTTTGTCTATAATTTTGTTGGAATTGTAATGTACTTTTTAAGTATCCAGGTTCTGCTTCTAGGTACTAATCATTTCAAGCATTCCAAACAGAAGTTTTGCATATTGTACACTTGTTGACTATAAAGTAATTGTATGTATTTCAATGACATAACTCACTTAACTCTGTTTCTGTTATTCACTAAGCATCTAACATGAACCTGTCAGAACTAAAGTATCTTGAAGAAATGCTCGCACACTTATTGAATGACTATTGTGTTCTGGATACTGGCTGAAGTGCTAGGGGATAAAACATAAATCAATGCAACTGGGACTATTATTTCTGGACTTAACAGATTATAGAAAGATATGTTTTTGGAATCCCTTAAAAAGCTAAACTATACAAATCTAGCTAAATTTCCTGACAAAGTGAAGTTATCTTAGCGATTTTCCAATGAGCATAATTGCAGCATCTATTCCCTGTTCTTTTGCAAGACAGAAGCATCAATCAACATTTAAGATCCAGATTTTAAGAGTCTAATGCACTTCTTTTTTTAACAATTCTGAAACATTAGAAACCATCACAGTATTGTCCCTATAACCCATGGCAGGCATTAGAACACACGAATGAGTAAAGGCCAGGTTCTCGGATTCCATAGCAACCAGGTGGCCTGCTCAGGTCTGTTAGGGAAATGAGTAACATGGAGCATATGCTGGAGATAATCCAATATTCCCCCCAAAAGTAAGAAATGACTCACCATTCTGCACATAGCCACTTTCTCCAGAAACAGCATGAATTAAATAGAAAACTACAGCAAAAGTTGTACTTAGAATAGTCATCCTGAGATAGAGAGAGAAAGAGAGAGAGAGAGAGACAGAGAGAGAGAGGAGAGAGGGAGGAACAGGAGAGAAGAGGAGAGAGCAGAAGTGTTAAGAAGTGTCAGCCTATATGTACAAATGAATGAGAGAGAGGGAGACTAGGTCTACAGCTCAATAGTTAACCACAAGGAGGGGAAGTATAAACAGGCTACAAGAAGGCAAACGCCAGAAACAGGAAGTTTGAGTAAAAGTATTACTGCTGTACGCAGAGGGAGAGGAAATGAAGAGACAGCAATTTAAATTACTCTCCTCTTACAGGCTCTCAAATCACTGTACTTTGGAGTAAGATTGCAGATTTTATATCATGTTCAAGTGATCTCACGGTACAGCCCTAGAAGGATCACAATGGTGAGAGATTTAGTTCAGCAGCTCAGATGCTTTCCAGATAAGCACAAAATAATGAGTTTGATCCCCTGAATACCACTCCCAAAAAGATCATGAGACAAAAATCTAAACTTATTAATCAATTGTTATTTGTGGTGAGTTTGGTTTAAAGAAAGATTGTATAATTTATAATAGATGTTTTTTTTTCTTTTTCAGCTTTTATTTATTTATTTTTTATTTTAAGGAAGATAAAACAAAATAAAACCAATCAAAACAAACCAGTGTAAGAGATACAGGCCTAAAAGCATTATGGAATCAGCAATAGTTACCATAATGCCTTTTGATGTCTTTAAAGTAGCTGCAAATAACTTCAGACATGGTAAAAATCAAACAGAACAGAATTGAATGGAAACAATAAAAAACAAGACAATGTAAGCAATACAGGACTTCAAACAAGCCAATAGTAAATCCAAAATGGCCACCATAATACTTGCTAACTTTGAAATAGCTGCTCTGGCCATTGGATTTGACGTAATCAAAACAAAAGAGAATAAAACCCAACCCAATAAAACAATGGAAATGATATAGGACTTCCTAAACAAGACCATAGGAAATCAACATCGGCTGCAACTCTCTGAAAGAGATTCCCCCTGGGTGCCACACTGTGTACCGCTATCCTCTGAAACCTATGATCAGACCACTGGCCCTAGACCAGTGGTTTAGTGGTTAGTGAAACACCAAAGCACCACAGGCATCCAATTGCATTTCACCTCCATAGCTGTCACCACAGCCTGTGTTTCTCTGGATAAGCCTGGTGCGTACAGTGGGGAGAGACGGGGTGGGGGCATGGGTTGGTATTTCTTGTTTGCTAGCAGGGGCTGGGGTTTGTTCCAGTCCAGCAGTGGCTCAGGCATGGCGCTGGTTCCCAGACTGGGATTGCTTATTATTTCAGTTTTTATTTTTGTTAGTACATGTTTGTAGTACATAATGATCACATTCCTTATAAAGAGTTGATACATGTACAGAGCACACTTTAATTCTTTTTTCCATCCTCTGCCTCCTCCCTCCTCTCGTTGTACATTCATTTTAAACAGCTTACTTGCTACCTCTCAGTTTCCACAGTTGCAGTTTTTCTGTTTTTTCAGGTGTATTCCTGGCACTTATCCTTACCTTACTCATAATAGTGGGCATTCGTTCAAGAATTATTAGTGTTAAAGCAGATCATGTCAAACTATGCTAGAGACAAAGATCTTTGCCTTCTTCTGTTTGTGTAATATGTTTTATTGGAACATAGTATCACTTAGTTTTTTTGTATATAGCTTATGTATACTTTCATTCAACAAGTAGATGAGTAGATACTAAGTAGATGAGACAGATATATGAAGCACAAATAATTAAATCCTTTCCACCCAATTCCTTGTAGAAAGTCTATTCATCTTTTGTTTAAAACATAGAAGAACTGTTTTCTTTAAAACATAGAACACACTTTCTTCTGATATTTTATTCACATTTTATTTGTTAAAGTCTGATTGCCGTGCAACTTGTGAGAAACCTAGAGTACATACCAATCATGCTGGCACTTATGTATACAGGGCAGACACCTGACATGATGAAACAAATAATTCAGGCTCTCTCTAAATTGTGTGCCCATCAAAATTATTTCCAACATTGTTTCGTGGTTAAAGTGGTAGGTTTGCAGGACTGGATGACATCTCGGTAACTGTTAAATTGTTTTTCAAGCCATTATCAGTGTTTACAAGTACTAGTTTTCTATTTAATCCAGTTATATATAAGTGGACAGGTAATATCTTTTGTAAGATGTAATGCTGCTTAGGTTTCCAACTGAATCATCTAATCTTGATTCTAGTCATAAAGCCACAGGCTTTGGATTCACAGTGACTCCCTTCTGGAGGAAGCTTTAAGATAACGATTATAAGGTGATGAATTCAGAGAACAGAAAAGGACAATGTGGTAGTAATTTCTGTTTGATCCCTTATTATTGGGTAGAATGTTATTAAGGGCCTATAAAATGGTTAAATTAGTAGAAACAAGTAACATTGTTTCTGGTGTACAGCAAATCGAGGTCTCTAAACTGTCTCATCATTATAGTTATTGTGATGATTTAATAAAGCTAGAAAAGAACAGGTGGGGTGTTTTCACTGTCTTGGAATTCCTCCTCACTTTTTTAGGCCGATATGTCTACACCAGTTACCATGGCAGGGTTTGTAATACAGACTCAAGGAGCAAGAATCCAGCTGACAGTTTCATATTCTATGTCTTCCACCTGTCTGGAACTTCTTTGGGCATTCCAAAACACGTTGCAAACCATATGATCAGATATGATTTTGTACTTCAGGCGGCAATTTGTGTTCTCATTATATTCTTGTTTTGAAAGCTTGGTAAGAAAATTGTAAGCCTTATTCACAAAATTGGTATGTTTTGTGCACTGAGCTGAATATTTTTTTCTAGAAAGCTGTATTATAAATTTCCACGAAATAAAGAAAGTGTTCAAGGAGCAATCACAAGTTCTGCATATCCACCAACTCAGATCTCATGAACTATTTTCAAATTGTCACTCCCCAGGTGAGTAACTGGGTCATGTCTCTTTAAATTTTCTTGTTTATAATGTAAGTGGACTATCATTTTGATTGTATCTCCTTCCTTTAGTTGTGAACATGTAAAAGAACAAAGTAAAGACACAATATTTTTGTACAGCATGTGCTGGTTCGCTCAGGGGATTTCCACTAGTGTGCTTACCCTTTTTGGGTAAGGTAAAAGATGCCGACAGGACCTTGGTGATGATGAACTAAATAATAATGAGACTTGTCACTCATCCTTCTAGATATTGTTGGGGAGCAAAGGTATTTGCTTTCTTCACTCTGATCTTATTATTCTTTTGAAACTCGTAAAAGCTAAGGAGGAACAGCCTGGTTTCACGTAGCCCCTAGAGGAAACACATTTACTGAATTTGCTTTGTCATCATTGCTGGTAAGACTAGCACAGACAGGGAGAAGACAGGGATTGGGAGGACTCTGAGCAAACCTGAGCTTCCAACTGTGGCATCAGAACGCAGGCATCTGCAGCGAGCAAGCTTCGAAGCCTGTCTGCTTGCTTCAGTCATCCAGCTTCTTTTCTCTCAGCACTTCCTGTCATCATTACCTTTTTGTGTCCCTCTTAGAGGTGTCATCTTTTTTGTCTCTTGTATTTCCATAATGTGATGAATCATGAAAAAATCAAAGTCATTTTATTGTTTCTCTCATGCAAAACATACTAATCTCATAGAAAGACTCCTCGTACCAACTGGTCAAGACTCTCCCATCCTGCTTCTTTTCTAGTTTTGCAGGCCATGTGTAAAACACACAACGTTCATGAAACAATTTGTATGTATGTTTAGCTGTGCAAGATACATAACCATGCTACTAAGTTTGTTGGATTATCAAACAGAATGGTTTATACCAGCATGGTTTGATTGTCTGTCCAATTTTTATGCTTTGATTTTGCAACTGGAACAACTATTTCTAGATGATAATATGTAATTTATCAATTAGTGATTTCTTAGTGTTATTATCTTTTTGAAATTCTGTATTATTTCTACCCTTTTTTCTATAAGTAAATAAAAACAATTTTCTTTATTTTCATATTGCTAAAAGTTACATGCTATTAAGAGTTCAGAGAGATGTACATTCAATGAGATTTCAGATCATGGAATCCAAAAATTAGAGGAATATATATATACTCTTTATTTGATTTTTTTAGTCATTAACTCAATTAAAATTCAATCCAAGAAGAGCCATGCCTTTTATCTTTTCCTTCTTTAGTAAAAATAAAAGTTCTACTGAGCAAACTCAGACTAGCATTTTTACTCTGTGACATTTAGATTTATCTCTTAGGATTAGAAATTTTATTTCCGACTTTTACAGAAATTATAAATTGAGTGGAACAACTGCACAATCTGTTTCAGTATCTTTGGGAATGAAAGGGTTTTGGCCCAGGCAGGGCTCTGTAGCCACAAAAGCCTTAACCAGAACCAGGAAGCTCCTATCTCCCCCACCCCTAGGAATTTACCTGTGATGTCATCTTCCCCGCCCCTGGGAACTTACCTATGGCGCCAAACCTAGGACCAATGGGCTACTCGTGCATCCCTGATGCCCCCTTAGGTTCCACCCCAAACCAAGGCTGCTTATATACCCCCCCCCCCCAACGCCACGTGTCTGTCAGAGCAAAAGCCAGACTCCAGCAGTCTGGGGGTGCTGGTTCTCTCTCTCCCTGTTCTCAGAATAAAGGCCTCTTTTGTTTTATACTTCTCATCTTTTGGAAATAATCCTATCAGGGAAACACACGTTTCGAGAGTAAAAGTAGTTCTGTGAGTCAGTGTTTTCAAGGAGTTTATAAAAGCACCTTTAAGCATTTAGCAACATTCTCAATGAGAATAATTTCAAAATCATTCACCTTGTCTGTGTACATTGAGAACAATAAAATGAACCACTAATACCACCACCAATAATAGCATGTGTTGAAACAGGAATATTTTAGGAATATCTGAGATAAATGTTGATGCTTGAAAAATACTCAAAACTTCCAAACTTCCTTGCAGCTAATAACCTATCTTTCTTAAATAATGGATTTCGTCCTTAATGTGAGAAACAGTCTTAGGCACTTGTCTTTCTGGGCCTGGGGGCAGGGGTGGAGAAAGGCCTGGGCAGTG